AGTCAAAAAGGCTTCACTGCCACTCTTCCGAAACAATAGTGGATAAAATTTCTTCAGAACCGTGCACTTCTGACTACAGAACGGAAATGTAAAACACAAACAACACGTACAGCTAAAATAACCGTAAAGTGAAAAAGTTGAAAACTAGCGACTACAGGCTACGCCGTTCTCGACTATCAACAAGTTTATGCTGTAGCCTTATCATTACGTCCGACTAGGCGTTTCTTCCCCAAGGACGATATCAGCTGTCAGTTAGAACTTCAAGTGACAATATGGTCTCTCCTGACCCGAAAAGTGGTGGGTCAGCACCGAGAGCACTGTCCTCATCAAAGCAAAGGTAATGAGGGATGAGGAATATGATATTATTTTAGTCCTAGCTCTTGCACCAAAGATACTAGATATTCACCTTAAAAAATTTCTAAACAATGTTTCAAGCTATATTTCATATTTTCTAAAGCCTATTACAAGTGATCTATTTGAATATGTATATCGGAAATTCTGTTGAACAAAGACTAGAGTCGATTCAAAAGAAACGAAAATCATGTCCGTGGGTTGAAAATTTCAATCACTATGAATCTTCCGCAGTCAGAAAGGGTAACTCGTAAGACCATAACCCGAAAAAAGTTAGAATTTGACCTTATGGCATTTTTAGAGCTGAAAAACAAACAACGTTAAATGGTTTCTTGCTCCAAGCATTACCGAAAAGTGCGTGATTTTTTCACTCTAGGCTATACTGAGTTGGACGAATTCGTTGAAAGGACAAGTGGTACAATTTTCAAGTATTTTAGTGCAAAATTTGCGGAGCAATCTAATAGTAAGTTGGTACGCAGCTACTGCATCAGAACTTTTGTTAAGACTTTTGCGGCTATGCAAGTTGATAAAAGGAAACACTTAATTTGGTTTTTTTTTTGCAAATTTAGTCTTGCTGAAAATTGCACCTTTTTATCTGGTTTCAACATTATTCTTTGATTTTACTAGTTCTTTCGCAATGGAAAAGAATTTATACTGCTGAAGATGCGCGAAGTAAGTCATTTTTTTCAAATTTTTTAAATTTAACTTGAGAAAGTAAAATTTTTAATACATGGAAAAACTGCGCCATTTACTTCATACAAAAAAGCTTTGAATCAAAACCAAAGCTTGAGCAATTCTATAACAAACTCGTGATTTTGTAAGAATCACGAACCTGCTTATATTAGTGAATCATATCTAAGCTTGAATCTTGAGGGCGAGTCATAAAATTTCGTCTGAGAGTCCATCGTTTGCATCTGAAAAACTTGGCACTAATCTCTTGACAATCTGTGACACACTGACATGGCTGTAAGAAGTTCGGACAAATTTGAAAATGGTTGATGAGTATATTGAACTTCAAAAAGGTTGCTGAGCATATTGAAATTTGTATTTTCAGTGAACCCTTCCCCCAGAATCAGAAAGAAGAGAGTGATTTTCAAACAAGTTGCCTATGAAAAAGCAGGCTCAAAGGTAAAAACACTATCGCATTATTTGCTTCTTAACTGAATAAATATGTTTCCTCGAAAACATCAAACATCATTTATCTATCTCACTTC